ATGCATATTACATAGATTGAGAAGGTGCATGTATATATAAGGGTGTGCAACAATTTGGGACCAAACTCATTGTTAGACTAGAACATATCAAACTGAATATACTATCATCTGGTTCTTAGTCGAATAAATTTTGTAAGCACTGAAGAAAATTTTACAAACGTGATATTTGGACCGGACCTAATGCATTGTTCGTTCGATCCTTGGTCGTAAGATTCTTTCACTATTGAACTGCGATTTAGTGATGACAATGGGGCGGGACGGAGTGTGTACCTCAATACTGATACCCGTCCCGCACTAAACACGTGTCAGGTATGGTAAAATCCACTCTAGTATATAGCAGGATGGGTCAACCCATTCTTATATGATATATGGAAAAAAATGATATTTAACTCTTTTACAAGAACATATAGAGAAACCAATTCATAAATGAATGATACGTATAGTAGAAGGAATAATTGGGTCCAACGTATTCAAATGCGAGTTTCTATGCAGAAGCGAAAATATGAGTAAAAATGTAAAGCGTAGCATAAAAACGTAAGTTTTTATTAATAATTTGATTAATCTTTCACAAACATCTTCTCTCATTTAAAAAAAAAATCACTATTCATTCAGATAATCTAATTTGACTTACTTTTAGTGGAGCAAATGTACAACTAAACCAACAAGGCGATAAGGAAATAATGAGGCTTCTTCATTCATAAAAGATATAACAAATTAATAGCTACACCTCATTATCGACCATTTTGTTTCAATCTGGATGTCAAATTCAACAGGATTACTGAGACTTCTTTTATTATAAGGTTCTTCATTCATTGAACGTGAGAGATCATATTATTACTAAATATTAATCACTTAAGTCGCACATCAAACAACAAAGTAATAACTTGATGAAGTTGTGGTATGACATTCTCATCTCTCTTGAACACATCCTATGTCATGCTCGTATCAAGGTGACGTCATCCCAATATTTGGACGAGTTTTAAGTTATGAACCAATCGTTGAATTGATTACCTACGACATGCATGTGGAAGGTGTTTGATTAATTGGATTACGGTTAAAGTAAATTTTAAATCTAAAAGAAGTTGAAGTTAATTGAAAATTGAAAGGCTTAATTGTAATTAACAGAATGTTGGATGGTTTAAGTGGCAATCAAGTTTTTGGTTGGGCCATTTTGATATTTGTGGTTGGGGAAGAAGATAAATGGGGAGAGATTTATAGAGAATGAATGTGCAAAAACATGCACCCTCATTCATCTCCTTCCCCTCTCCCTTTCTGGTTCTTTCTTTCCTCTCTCACTCTCCATATCCTCATTACCACCACAAACAAACCTTGAATGAGCCAGAAAATTTAGTGGGAATTAGAGTTGGGGAATTGAGAAGGATGAGAGGAATAGAAGAGCTGCAGCATTTTTGTTTTGCAACACGGCAGTGAGTTCAATAGTGGATTTTTAAAAAAAAAATCCATCGTTAGATCATCCTCAAATTTAGAAAAACACGTTTCGTACTTGCTCCATGATGTTGTGTGTCGAGTAATACCATCACCAAACCGGTCAAGGCGGGTCGGGTTGTGCAGATCAAGTCAAAAATCGACATTAATACCGCTATAACGAAACCCCATAACTTTCGGTTGAGCGGTGACAAATCTATTTTTTGGTCGTAGAAACAAATAGTCCACTATACGATCTGTAACTTTGAGACATTTAGGTACTAGCAGTGGATCCAATAATTAATTTTAGAGCGACCAATTGGTGGTCAGGCCAGAGAGCTAGCTGCCTATATACGGCCAATGACTATTTGAGAGCATGCATTGCTGCATGGTTCGCCTATCTGACGCCTTGGACTTTTTATCACGCGTCTGTATATATTTCTACTCATCTTCAAGAAGTCGCAGTCTTAGTCTTTGAAAGTATCTTTCACGGTTTCACTCATCACATGGAACGAGCAGTCCAATTCCAGATTGTACTCTGGAAGTTGTTTGGTCTTTTTGACCTGACGGGGTCGGTTCGGGCATTGAAAAAGAGACGCATATGCATGTGCTGACTGCCTGTGGGGATGGGTTTAGGCATATGTTCAAAACACCAAGCGGTTAACCTACCGGTTACAACTGAAACCGGTCAGTTATTCACTAACCGAAAATCGATTGGTATTCGGAGGATGGGCTAGTTGTTTTTGGTCTTGTGGGCAGCTCGGTTAACCAAAAACCGAGATAACCGAAGCCTTAAGACCTCTTTTCGGTCTGTGGTAGGTAGGTTTGGAGATGGTTCGGTAACCAATAGCCGACCTTTCGCTTTTCGGTTATAACCGAACGGACAAAACTCCAATCCCTACCATAATCGATTGATATCACTCACACCAATGGTAAGAACGATGGTTCATTGCTTTATAAAAATTAGGCAAAATACACTTTCATGTAATTATAAATTAGTCATTTAAGTTAAAAAAAAATAAAGTCGTTAGATACCTCATCTATAGAATTAACGTGACGCAGATGTGGATGCCACACTCAAACGTTAGCTCTAACTAACTAGACGCAACATGTCAAATTTTGAAAAATCTCATATTTATTTTATCCTCTTATTCCATCCTTTTCCTTGCATGCTTTCGAGATCAATTTCATTAGACCGCTCAAATTGACTCATTCCATCGCTATATAAACGAAGAGGCATGTCGGCCCACCAATTCCAGCCAACGCCGACGAGGGCTTTGTATCCTCCGGCTACCCTATGGACCGCCATGTCGGCCCACCAATTAAACACAATCGAATGTATCAATATTAGTACGACGTCGCTTCTGATTTAAAACGCATACATAGATCAACATTTAGAATCCTGCCATAGCCTGATAGCCCCATACATCATACAAAATTTTCATCACCTAAAAACTATCAATGAAACGGTGGAATGCTACATAACCCACCTCTCCATATACTTTAATTAACATAAATGATCAGTTTTGAGGTCATCAAAGTTGTCGGGAGTGTTCATGTAATACTAATATATATCAAAATAAAGACAGAAAATTACTTTCTTGGAGTGGAAGCGAATCAAAGTTTCCCATCCCTCGGAATTTGTTGCTTAAACCCCCTTTTAACACTTTGTTTACAATGTTTTGATTAATTAATGCGCCTAATTTGTCTTGTTGATCACTGAATTTTTGGACTTCCCCAAATTACGAACATTGTTAATTGAAGGCATAAGATGTCATAAGCCTACAAAGAGAACATGTGTCCCAATTCCCAAAATCATCAACCAAGCCAAAACGCATCCCCGTTTGACTTCCAGCTTTCCTTTCATCGCCGAAGGAAAAAAGTGAACCACATCACATGCAACCATCACACAGCCAATGAGAACTATATGTGTCGAATTGAAGACTTTTCGCCATTTGATATGTCTATAAGTTGTACGTGCGGACTCGCATTTAATTAAAATGACGGTAATAAGGGATGCAACGGGGACGACATTGTTATGGCGAGAGGGGTGGGATACGAGGGCTTGGTGGATCTAGCCGCGATCGAGATGGTGGTACTTCTGGATACCGAACGCGATACAGCGGTGCATCGGTTTTATGAATTGTGTCCATTATCTAGGAGGGGATGCGAAAGCGGTGATTATTGATTAATAAGGTCAATTATGCGGCGTCAACTTATGGTAAGGGTGGAGCCATACTTCAAGAGGCTCGGTGGTTGCTTCAGTATGTTTTCTAGGATATACAATGTGTTTAATACGCAGACAAAACATTAGGGTAAATCCACTCGACAAGTAAGAAAACTTTTTTCTTTGTATATCGTCGATTTGATTGGTTTCTACTTTTGACCTTGGTTTCGAGTGGAGATTTAGACGTTGTATCTATATTTTTCATGAGTAATGATAGCGATCTTTGATTAATTTTCCTTGTATACATTCTCAATCTTTAATTTTACTTATATGACTTAAAACGGATGATTTGCTGACGACTGAAATTCATAGAGAGATTGTTACCCAATCAACGAGTCATGATCCAGGGGCAAAGCTCCCAGATAGGAGATTCAGGGGGAACAAGATTCCCTTGATCGAGGTAGAGGAGAACAATTTCATGTGTGTAAAAAAAAAAAAAAATCATCATCGATTGGTCGGCTGGGCTCAAGGCTTGTAAAGAAATGTAACCCTCATAATGCTTGAAAATCATTTGGTTAACGTAATTGGGCCTGACCTAGACGTCTTCGACCGACCCTATTACTCGGCCCAGAATGGCCCGCAGTCGAGTATCCTCTTAGCCTAGTTTTTAAACCCCCGATAATAAGTATATAGCCGTTCCCAATTCGCGCCATGGGGCCGGCGGTCCGTCCCTGAGAAAGAAAAAGAAAATGCATTGGGTAAAAAAAAAAATAGGGCCACTTCTTTTCTCCGGCTTCTGATCCGATCTTTGTCCCGTGTGTGGCTGCCTCTCTTCAGTTCAGTCTTTCTCTATTTATCACACTCCAACACGCCACCACTCTCTCTCTCTCTCTTAGCCGCGCTGTAGGGATGGCAATTTCGACCTGACCCGTTTTACCCGACCTGTTTGACCTGTTTTGGGCGGATCCGACCCGCTCCGTAGGCGGGGCGGGCATGGGTAGTCTCATCGACTCGACCTGCCCTGACCCGCACCATTCTTGACCCGTTCTTGTCTAAATTACATGAAATCTTAGTCAAATTACTTTGAATTTTACTTTTATCGCATCATATTTTAGCTATAATAAAGTTGTAAATTAGTGAAAACCTCAATTTCTCCAATAATTTAACTACAATTGTCATAATATTGTTTATTTTCTTAGTTTTATAATAAAAATAACGAATATTTCTAATGTTTTTCAAATAAATTGCATACCCATTGGGTCGACCTGCCCCGACCCGTGATCAATTACCCTACCTGGACCCGCCCTGCCACGGGGCGGGTCTGGGTACCAAGAAACCCGCCCCGGACCTGCCCATTGCCATTCCTAGCTGCAGGCAGGTCGGCCGGCCCAGCCTTTCCACAACCGAAGCCGAAGCCATAGCTGAAGCAGAATGCCAACTTTTTCCACTCTACTTTCAACATTACAGACAGTAAGTAGCCTCTCCCCTCTCCTCGACCTTCGCATAGTAGAGACAACAACCCAAATCCCACTCCCAAATCTCCAAGCAAATTCCCATCCTTCTCTCTCTCTCGTTCACTGGTCCCTCCCTCTTTCTGTTGTTTCTTTTCATGGGTTTCCTCTTTCTGTTCACGCCTCTCTCTCTTGCCAACTGTTCTGTTCTTCATTCATCCCAGTTCCCTTCTTCTTCTTCTTCTTCTTCTTCTTCAACTCCAACCCCATCAATCAAACAGGCATCAACGGCTCTCTGCGTTTTGTTTGCAGCACTGTTAAGAATGCAAGCAAGCAAGCAGTAGTGATTCACCATTGCTCTTCCCTCCCAGCCTGTCGTTTTGTTTGCAGCACTGCGTTCGTCGTTTTGTTTACTCGCCCGTCTCGTCGCTTTCACACACCCCCCAAAAACCATACCATAGCTTTCTTGGATACTTGCCCTTTTTCAAGCTTACAGCCTTACCTGGCATTTCTCCTTTCTCAAGCTTACAGCCTTACCTGGCATTTCTCCTTTCCCTGGGCTTCTCAACTTTAATCACGCTTCTGGCAATTCGGCAAATATTCGCCGTCCCCCCCACCCGCCCCAGCCAGATGCTTCTTCTTTCTTTGCTCTCTGTACGTGCGATTAAGCAGCAACCATTCAACTTGACTTGATGCTCTTCAAAGGGTAGAAACAGAGCAAGGAAAAAAGAGAAACAGGGTACTCTGTTTTTTTTTTTGTGTGTGTGGGGATGGGAGGACAAGGGATGGAGCAGAGTCAGACTCCGACCACCGTCCCCGTCGCCACCACCACCAACTGCCTCGCCGTCTCCGACAAGCGGCCTAATCGCCCCGGCGGATGTGTCGGCATTTTCTTCCAGCTATTTGATTGGAACCGCCGGTTCGCCAAGAAGAAGATCTTCTCCACCAAACTTCTCCCTCCAGGTCCCCCCTTTTCTCTCTCTCTCTCTCTCCTCCATCTCGCTGCCTCATCAGTTCAACCACTCGTCTTCACACGCCTAGTTTGACTGAACAATGTGATGTTTTCTTTTTTTTCCAGCTCGAACGAAGCAAGCTTCGAAGAAGTTTGCAGGGGATGAAAAGATGCCCAAGACCAAGCCTCATCTGGTAATGCTTACTCTACTACTGCATTTACATTTCCTTCTATACATATGTCTAAAACCCTTGTATGGGCTGGGAAATTGCAGATTGAAGACGAGAACATCGGCGGTTTCCCAGCAAATGCCAAGAAGATTAGTAAGGATCGAAGTCTCGCGGAGTTTCAGAAGCAGGAAATGCGGTCTCCAAGTTTGGTTGCTAGGCTCATGGGTCTCGACTCAATGCCTGCTCTGCAGAGAGATAAGCAGAAGAAGGCTTCAAATTCTGTTGCTTACTCCAATGTCACGCAAGACCATAGGTTTAATGATGGTTCTGATCGTGTAGCTGATTTAAACTCGGATAAGTTAAGCACCAAGCTTGAATCTAGGCCTCAAAAGCTTCAAAAGACTGGACAGTGCGACAGAAGGGCAGTAGCAGCAACCACTAGGTTTGGAGCTGAAGCGTTGGACATAAGGAGTGTTCTGTCAAGGTCTAGGAAGCATAAATATAATAACCCTCCTGCCAAACTTGCTACCCCAGTAGTTAAAAGCCCCAAGCTTTCGACCGCACGCCATGGGTCGAGGACTTCTAGGTTGATCGATGCCGCTACAAGGATTTTGGAGCCTGGAATACAAGCTACGAATAGAGCCAAATCCACCATTGCTTACTCGAATTCGAGACGTTATGCTCCCGATGATGATGTTTTAGGAGGGGTTTTTGGACAGTCTGTGAAGGAAGTACAGAAGAGTAATGTGACTTCTTGCAGGAATTGTGGCAATGCTGTTGATGTGGTTGTGGAATCCAGGTCACATTTGGTGGAGGAAGAGTCTGAGTTTCAGTATCGTGCAGCGTCGCTCGCTTCTCATTTCGCTTCTGATCAAGGGAGAGATGTAGCCTGCAAGAGGAAACAAGTGCAGCAGCAAAGTAGTAATGTGGAAAAGCAGGACAAAGGGAGAGCTTGTAGTAGTGAAGTGGTTGTGGATAGGAAAGCCATTTTACATGAGTTTAGAGCCGGAGGGCAGTCAAATGGATTTCAACATGGCAGCAGCAACCATCAAAGGGATGATGAGACATCTGCTGCTGTTGCTTTCAAGCAGAGAAGCCAAGGTCAGAGCAGAATGCCAGTAGTAGGGACTGATAGATTGACTCAGGGTTCCAAGCTGAGTTCATTTAGTGGTACTAAAGATTTTGTTGCTATGAACAGAAGTTTGAGTGGTCGATCCAGGGCTCGGGTATCGAACAGGATGGATAATCCCACCTTCAACATGGAGAGGAAATTCTGTAACAGAAGAGATGATGTCTTGCCACAGTTAAGGAGCCCAGGGGTTAAGAGGAAGACAGTGAGTGTCAAAGCTCAACTTCAAAATAGTGGACATGGAAATTCGTCAATGCCGCCTGTAAGACAAAGGAGCATCAATTTTGATGCTGTCCATGGGAAGGAAATAGGATCAAACCCTTTCCGTGCGAGAACCAGATTCGATAGTCATGGTGAAGGCAACAATGATCTTGCTTCTTTTACATTTAGTTCCCCTTCTAGGGTAAAAACTGGTTATGGTAGCAGGAACCAAATGGGGACAAGCACTCCAAAGCAAAGGGACATGGTCATAGATGAAAGTGAAGCGAAACGATGTGTGCAAAAGCAAGTTTCGCCGAGAAGAGATGCATTAGGCTCCCTTCTGGAACAAAAGTTGAAAGAATTGATCTCACAAGAGGAGGATGAGTTGAAAGGTGGCAGTGCACTTCCCATAAGATCCACTGCTATGATTCTCCAGGAGCTGATATCTGCTTTGACAATAGAAACTTCGATTCCCACTTCTCCACCAAGTTGTTTTCCCATTGCCAATACACCTTTCCAGGTGCGTTTTGGTTCTCTTACCGTAGAAGAAAGCTTTTATATTTCTAGTACTTGCATCTTCTTTTCATGGTCCTATCCTATCAGCAGCCTTTTATATCTTCCCTTTTCAAAATTTCCTCTTAAGTGTTATTGACAAGTTGAACTTTTCTCCTTTTACTCCTTTTCAGAATGGAAAGAATCACCTGAGTCCTGGATCTGTTCTTGATGCCAGCTTCTCCAATGAAAGCTGCTTCTCCAGCAGTCTAGATGACAACTCAGGTATCAAATACTGAAGACACACTACTCAGGAGTTCCAACGTTTCTAGGATCACTAAACTGAACACTGATTCTTTAGAATATGCAGCTTCATCAATGCTTAATTGGGATTCTACAACAACCTCCACAACCGAAGGCAGGACATTTTCGAAGCTGGTGACAGATCTCCATGACCACATCTCTAGAATATTGCAGTGCATAACTCTAGCTGGTGGTGGGTGTGAGTTAACCAGCAGGGACCTTGGTCATGCAAAGGAAACTATCTTGACTGCTGAGCTCTTTTTCGGAGCAGCAACTCATCATGGTCCTGACAGAACGACAAGTTCGGTGTTGGGATCTTTCCTTCTCGACGAGCTGAATGCTGTTGCAGTTTCCATGGGGAGCACTGAGGGTAGCAAAGAGGCCAGCAATCAACTCAGGAGGCTACTGTTCGACTGCGTCATAGATTGGTTGGATTCGAGATACAGCAGGTATTGTGATGCAGGGTTCAGAACATGGAGGCAGCAGCAGCTGGTGTCGCCATGGTGCAAGGAGACAGTGATGGAAGAGGTCGAAGAGGAGGTTAAGAGGTGGACAAACATGGCCGGGTTGATACCAGATGAGATGGTGGAGTTGGAGATGGGACAATCATTAGCGAAATGGACCGAGTTTGAGGTTGATTCTTACGAGATCGGTGGCGAGCTTGGCTGCGAGATCGTCGAGGTTTTGCTGGAAGAAACTGTGAGAGACTTATGGCAACTCTAGCAGAATGGAGGCACTTAGTCAACAACCCATTTCATGGTGACATGTCGTGTACAAAAGTGACGATTTGGGAGGTTGGATCGCTTAGATGGCTCTAGCTGTACTGTATCATCTTCTTCTGTTCTAGTTCGGATTATATAAATGTTTAGGGGAAGCCGAGTCTTCCTTCCTCCAATTTTTTTGGACATGGGAGTTGGGTGGCAGAGAAATCTCCATTTGTTGGTTTCTGTGGAAGCTTATTGGTGAGGTTAGCAGCCAAACGTCACTGTATACATTCCCATAAGAACTAGTCAACTATAACTAATTACGACAACCCTTTATAATAATCGATTAGAGAATTCCCGTTGTAGAGAAAACGTGAATTTCGTTTTGGCAGATCTTTTCAATAATGACAATTTGGATTCTATGAAGAACTGGAAATGTTAGCTAACTGGAAATGATCTTTTAGTTAATGACGATGTAAAAAATACTCAGTAAGTTCATAATCGGGCTTTTACATGTATAGAATCATGAAATGTATTTGATTGATTACAGGGAACTGAAATTCTTCAAGTGTTAATACAAGGTTTCGCAGTTGCAATCCAGCAAAACCAAACTCCCTCTGCTATAGCAACGAAACAGAGTAATGAACAAAGAACACCACACCTAAAACCCACATCATGAATGATGAAAGAACCGGAAAAAGAAGAAGAAGAAGAAAAGAAATCACAACGGTGGCAGTAAGAATCGTAAAAGGAACAAAAATCGAACGAATCTTAGTGTCTGTACCCAAGCACGGTCTTCCCGTTCCCAATTCCTCTCCCACCAACATTTCCCCTGCTGCTGGTGAACCCTCCCACTCTGTTTTCCCCGTTCATAATCGAATTTGACGCCGCCGCCGACAATCCCTTCAATTCCTCCAAATTCGCGTAGCTCTTCCTCGCCATCAATCCACCGCCGCCGCCGCTGTTCCCCATTCCCCTCCTCTTCTCCCCCGACCCAACGGATTTGCTCCCTCTCGAAGACAACACGCCCTGCATCTTCGACCCGCTCTTGCACGGCGGAGGCGTCAGGTGCCCCAGCATCACTGGCGCCGGTTTGGGCTTTCTGTTCTCCTTCCTCAGAGTCGCCGAGAAATCCGGCACCGACTGAGCCAGCATAGACGTCGCGCCGTACCCAGAAGCCCTTCTCGAAACAGGGGCAGGGAGATTGAGCGGTTGGTGTTTGAATTTGACCTGTTTCTTCGGCGGCGGAGTTGTCTGCCTCCAGGACTCGGTCTCCACCACCGGAAATCGGGAAAACGCCGTCGCCATGGCGGCGGTGGTGGTGGTGGAGGGGATCTTGGTACGGAGCTTGGATTCCCTGAGGTGGGCGTAGGCCGAGTAGCGAGGCCCCCGCTCCATGAAGTAGGTCTCGGTGGTGAGCTTGAGAGGGATGGGCTCGAAGGAATCGGAGGAATTTTGGGAGAGAATGAGGGAGATTGGGTCGAGGATGTTGAAGACGGCGGTGGATTGGAAAGTTGGGTTCTGGTGTTGAAGAGCGCCGCTGCTGATGGATGCTGCCATGATTCTTTCTTTCTTCTCCGATTTCGTTTCGTTTCCTTGATGGGTTTTCGATGGAATGAATGGTGGATGTGAGAATGATCGATTAAACGATGAATCGGAGGAGGCGGAAGAGGAGGCGGACTCTGTCTCTGCTGTCTCGTAGCTGTGGTTTTGGCGTTTGGGGGATTTTTGTAAGTTCGGCGGCAGTGAGGAATTCTTTTATTTTGATTTCTTTTTTGTTTTGCCCTCCATTCTCCTCCAACGGTCCAATTAAAGCAAACTCCATTTTTCTGTGAGTGCGGATCTTCTTCGTTCTTTTTACTTTCTACCCTTTTGCAAACGTTAATGTTGAGGAGGTGGAGGGAGGGAAGTGGGTACCGGCTCGGAGAGTGTAATGGTTTGGTTCGTATCGGTTTACATCAAATTAAATTGAACTGAGTAAATTGTAGTTTCATTTTTTGTTTTGAATTTTATAAATAATAAAAATAAAAAGACCGAATTGACATTCGAATAGGACCAAATCGAACCAAATACAATGTTGGTCTGATTTTTAGTACTAAAATGTCTTTCACTATTTAACTGTGATATTCATGAGTTTGATTCGAACTGAACCAAAGAATTGCACACCCCTATCATTGGCTTGAATCAAAATTGCAATTTCGGGGGATTCGGTTTTGGTCACTATAAGTTTAGGGTTTAATCTTTGAAGTTCTTATTAATATATTAGGTGAAGGAGGTAGATTCGATTCTAATTCATTTCTAAGTCAAAATCGGTGGCTCTCCTCCTCCTCTTTTGTTCTTTTGGGTTTAATTGTTGAGCAAAGTGTTCTCTAAAGCTAGAAAGCAGAATGCCCTTTTTATCAAGTTTTTGAACGGAAAATCTACTAGTAAAAATTTCGAAGTGCTAAAAATCATGATGGTGGATAAAGTTATGATTAGGATATAACATCATTTTCAATGAGGGGAGTCAAAATCTCAAATTTTGAGACTAGATTTGTAATTCTAACTCCATAATGTGTTTTGCTTCAATGAAAGGGTAAAAATCCAAGTATCCGGTTTTTCACTTCCCTCAATGATGGATGAACTAATGGTCAAATAATAATGGGGAAAACAAAGAGATTAAGGAAATGGATCGCTGGGGGGAACCGGGGGAGACTAAGTTTGAAGGGGACATGAATCAAAGCTAAAATGGTATCGGGGCCGGCTAATACTTCGTACGCTCCTCTGTCATATCCTGCAATTCCTCAGCCTATCAGTTCGAAGCAAGGTTGTCAATCGACGGATTGACCCTGACTCGGTGAAAAAAATAGGTTGCACGTATTCGCTAGGTCAATCGTTATAACTTATAAGGTATCGGGTTGGAGGTCAAATTGTGTCATTTTTTTTTGGTTTGCGAAATGCGCATATTTTTCGATTTTTCTTTTCGCCTAGCTCAATCTTTGGAATTCTTAATTGAACTTTTGAATATTGATGTTATATAAGTGTATGTCAATTTTCACTATATATTGGATCTAATTACAACATGTTACTTTGGTGTAATGTTATATGTTATTACTCATATGTTAGAAGAGATTTGATATAATTTATTTGGATAAGTACAATATAATGACTCTTTCCATATTTTCCGGTTAAAACGGGTGACTCGTTTACTCTTGATTCACTAGCTCGACCGGGTCCGGGGTCAACCCACGGGTTGACAACCTTGATTCGAAGCCACCATCATGAGCTCCTCTCCCAACTTCTCGCTCTGCTTAACTTCGCTCACGGGGAAAAGAATGAAAGCCTAATCAGGATCATCTAATGGATTGTGGAAGATGAATCGTTATAGTGACAGGGTCCAAATCTAAGTTGATAGTCTGACTTCCCCCCATCCCTTCCAGGAATACCAAGAAAATAGTTAGAAAGAACCAATACCCACAATCCCTTCCCACCCCACTAACTAGCCAACCTACAAAATCAAAAGAAGCTAGTTCTAGCTGGGACAACAACAGGGCTTTATGTGCCACTCTATGAGCAGTCCAATTGACAGTCCGCGGAACCACCCTAAAATCTATACAATGAGAGATGGAATCAAGAAGACAACGACAATCTCGAAGAATGGAGCCTCCAATAGAATCCTCCACCATTCCAAATTTGAGTTGGCGGATGACCACTTTTGTATCGCCTTCGATAGGTCTGAAGAATATCAATGTTGTATTCTCGCATGATCTTTCAAATCCCACTACATTTTTTTATACAGGAGAAATCCCACTACTTCGAAGTGACTCTTCTGGAAAATAATTGAGAAACCTCAGTGCCAATTGAAACAAAAACTATACACGAAGTAATAAAAGGTAAACACGAGCAAAAACATAAAATCAAAGGCAGATGAAGACGGTGCAAACAGAAAGTAAATGCGTTATATATCAGTTCCCCTAGAGCTTCCAGGTTAGCATGCAACTAAACTGTTATATGTAATTGATAATATTTACACTAATTTTGATCCCATATCTATACTAGTTGACGGTCAAACCACGTATCGGGCCAATTGAATTTATATGATGTATAGTTGAGGCTAAAATATCATTTTCTAAAATCACTGACCAAAATTGATTATATATAGTTCGATAGTTGGACTTATTTTGATGGCCACTAATAATTGGAGGCCCAAAATGAACTCTAGAAAAATCAAAGAGCGAGGGCGACAACTTCTACTAATGACTTCATTTTTTTTAGAACAAGCCCAGTAGTCTACAAGGAGGTTCACTGCCTGGCCCATGATTTTGGGCTCTATTGGTGAGCTTCCTCTCCTCCAATATGATTGAGTGATGTATAATGCGGTGTCCATGAAACCATACCGTATCGGCGGTTCAACCACGAAATACCAGTATCGGAGGCTAAATCGGTAGACGGTATTTACCGGTATAACGGTTGAACTACGGTTAAATCACGGTTTTACCATAAAATACCCTACCACTGACTTTCCCGGTACGGTCTCCGGTACGGTTTCATGGACCATGGTATAATGTAGACTCTACACTGATTTGGAAGTTTTAATGCATTCAGGTGATTCTACGAAAAGAAGCCCACCTATATATTCTTTTCATCTTTTGTACCGTTATTGTATATATATTGATTATTATGACTTAGGACCATTTTGAATGTAATTGATTTAGTCAACCCGCGGGCCAGAGTGAGTGGAGTTGACGCCTTGGCGGTTAGGTAAAATTCGAAGAAGTCATAGTCCATGGAATTTTGGGAATATCCCGTGTCTAGGTTCACCAACGTCAAGGGTTCCAATTTAGGGTTGTCCTTGTTGTTCTCCTCCACAGCCCACTCCACCAGGTTCTTGTAATCTTAGAGGTCACTACTCACTAACACTTATCAGTCTCAGATGGCAACTCTCGTATGGTCTTTGAGTTCATAGATAAAAATTTATGTGCAAAGATGTTGAATATCGGAATGAGTATTTGTATTCGGTACATACATGTTCTCTATTTCACATATTTTCCATATATAACTTGGCATGTACACGAATCTTGATAAAAATATTTTGAGTTCTTACCTAATTTATTCTAAGAAAATTTTATTGACAAAACACACTCCTCGATCCTAAAGCCGATCATACAAATAAAATGAACTACTTTTTTCGTATCTAAAAGTTGGGATACATAAATACACAACTATAGAATATAGATTACTCCTGGCTAGGGCTGCAAAACAAGACGAGTCGAGTTTTTGCTTAACTTGAACTTGGCTCGTTTACAAAATTCTCAGCCCGAGCTCGGCTCGAACTCGAATTTTCATAATCCAGCTCGAGCTCGGCTCGATTAAAAATAATCCAGCTCGAGCTCGATTCGATAGAGTTCAGTAAATGCTCATTAACAAAATTTGTCAAGCTAAGTACAACCTCAACTCAAGATGAGCTCGATTTGGAATCATTTTTGTTGAAAAATGTGTACACATAAGAGTTTAAATGATAAAAACTAAAAAGGATGCTAGAAACTATAAATTACAGCTAACTTTCATACACATCTGTATTAACATGATAATGTTCATGTTCAGAAGAGTAATTAATCATTTTACAAGCTCTAAACAAGTCAGCTCGCGAGCTTAGCTCAACAAGCCACCGAGTCAAGTTAGCTCACGAGCTTTTCAAACCGAACATGGTCTAGCTTAAATTTGACTAATTAACTAACGAACCGAGTGTCAAACAAATTTTCCCCAATTCAAACGACAAATTACTTGCGAGTAGCTTGACTCATATGCAGCCCTACTCCTCGCCGACGGCCAGATCCTGTGCTAGTAAACAAGGCGAAACACACTACTGTGTGGGCAGCAAATGTGCATGATCTCAGTCGTCGGCACCGCACGTGATCCACCGCAGCAGCGGGGTAGGGTAGCTGCCTGCCGGAAATCTAATCCGAAATCTACTCGTGTCTTCCCCCACGGAGAGATAACTACTAACCTGATATATATCCTCGTTTATTTGTTTGTTTATAAAATAAAAAGCAAATATGATCACTTTGAAAAACCCTTTCGTTCAATGATTTTTTTTCCTCATAATTTCTCGCAATAATTAGATATCTAACAACTTATTAGCTATAACTATTTTTATTATATCCCGCAGTACACGCTTGATCGTTTGGAAGTTCTGATTGTTAAATAGATGTACGGTTGTGAATGCATATAATATTATATATATTGTCGAGTTTGATGCATTGTATAAATACAACGTTTGGTACGTGTGATTGTGTATGTCATATCAGCTAAAAGCCGAGATAAAACAATCTCAACTCAACTATCTCAACAATCAAAGTTAAAAATTGAGAAATAACACTTACTCATTGTGAGTGATAGTTTCTGTCACATCACAGAAACAATCTATTTGTTGTTTCTGCTAAAGAAAAAAAATCAAACGAACGATGCATTCCAAACAATACATGTATAGTAACAACCTCAACAAAATAATCACAAATTCCAAGCCATAAAATTCTATAACCGTGGATGACTCAAGTTATTCCAATTCAGAGAGTTTGAAATATTTGCATTGTTTAAAATCTAGAGATTTCGATTCTAATACTACAAACACGGTCCCTTAATATCAAGATTAGTTATTATTTGAAAAATGTTTAATTACGAATATTATACACATGTCAATAACTTGAGTGTTACGCAATATCCAATTTGAGTTTTATACTATTTACTAAAATAATCATTTGAAACCTTCGATTTTTATTATGAGTATAAATTTATCTAAAGGACGTTTGTTGAATTGATTTAAATAAAAATTAAATGTATTCGTAATAGTATGCCGAATCTCAAAAAAAATATAAAAAAATTAGTATCTATAATTCATTTGATCAATATACATGCATTCTTTTATGTTTTTTGAAATAATAAATTATTAAAATTTGAGTATGTGACGGAGGACTGAGGCTTGAGGACACATTCACAACCAAATAGACATGGGAAAACGGGCTTACTATAATAATGATTAAGCCCTTTAATTTGTTACCTTAATTTGCATACTAAGCCCATAATGATTGTTTATTAGTCAAGGTAGGTATTTATAGGGGAGAAAAAAATGGGGGTTACACTTACGAGAGCAGCCGAATAGAATTCTCCGCCATAGCTGAGCTAGAGCCGTGCGTTGTTCTTGTTGCCGAAGCGCAGAGCCCCTCCCATCAACTTTCTCTCCCACTCTCCGGATTTTCCAACGCTTTCTCGCCATCGAAACAAAACCACGAATCAATCCAGCGCCAAAGCAAAAACCCCACACCTCCCTTCCTTACTGAAAGGTGCCTGCTCCTCCCTCCGATTTCCCGCCTGGGTTCCTGCTTTCCTTTCTCCCCCACTCGCCAATTAGGTAAATGCGCGTTTGAATCCATCATTGTTCGATCCGATAGAATTTTGCGGATCGTAATCACTAGTTTCGCGACGCCATTGCGTAGTCTCGGCCGGCCAGCCACTGTAACAGTGATTTTGGGGATTTTTATTTTAAATTTTTTGGTGGAGAATAGTCTTACTTATGTACATTTTTTTAATTGGTTTCTGGTTTTACTGCTTTGACTATTGGGAAAGAAAAGTTTTCCAAAGGCGATAATGCCAGCAGCATCGACGTTTGCCGTGAAAGCCAGCGTAGGCGGCGCCTTTGGTTTCGACGCTGGATTACAAGAGCTGGGAAGGAAGAGACTGCGGGGGAGCATTGTATTTGCCGGTGGTTCTGCTCGCGGGAGGTTGACGGATCCGTTGGCGTTGAAGGGAAATCGCTGCATGAGTCGCATCGGCGGCTTAACTTCTTGCTTCGGGTTGCGGAATGATTCGGTCCCGATGGGGACGGAGCTTATGCGCCCCAGCAACCTCTTCAGAAACCGCCCAGTCAGAGCTCTAGCTTCTGGTTTGCGATCTGTGTTCCGTTGTTTCATTTGATTTCTTAAGTGAAGTTTGTTGATTTATATTTGATTTCTCGGTGATCTGAGAAATTTGCATCATTTAGATGGTGACATCGAAGATGCGGAGCCGTTGAAGCCGACGGATGTTTCAGTCACAAAGAGAAAGTCTACTGGAACGGTTTTACCATTTGTGGGCGTTGCTTGCCTTGGAGCTGCCCTGTTTGGTTATCACCTGGGGTATGGCTAAAGTGAACCAAATGAAGAACATTGCTCTCCCTTGCAATTGCTTATTGTCATTTTGATTAGTGGGTTTTATTGGTGTGTGCGTTCTGTTCTTTAACTGCAAAAAGGTTCTGGGTTTCAGGACGTGTCTTCAGAACTATAATTGTCTTGCCCTCTTTTTATTGTTTCCCTACTTATCAAAGCATACTCCTCTTTGCTGCTTCAGAGTGGTAAATGGTGCCCTTGAGTACCTAGCCAAAGATCTTGGGATTGCTGAGAATACCGTCATACAAGGTTAGCCTATTTCGTTTTGGAGTTGGACTGCTGTTGTAGTTCTTCATCGCACCGGGTAGTTATTGCTCCAAGCTTAACTTGACCCTGACAAGTAATTCTGCGAAAGGCTTGTGTTTTATCATGCCATGAAGCTGAATAAGTTTCTAGCCAATGTAGAATCTTGTTTGCTCTCGCCTATTTTGATTATTTCATGAAATAGAATCATTAGTTGCTAGATGAGGGCAAATGGTAACTCATGGTTGTGTGTGTGGTGTTCACAATCGAGTAGGATGGATTGTCAGCACACTGCTTGCTGGTGCCACTGTCGGCACATTTACTGGTGGTGCATTGGCAGACAAATTTGGCAGAACAAAGACATTTCAGTTAGATGCAATCCCACTTACCATTGGAGCGATTCTTTGGTTTGTTACTTATCCTCATGTCTACTGTAGTGATGTCCTGGGATTTTGCTTAGACCAAGTTACTTATTATTGCAAATAAATGGTTCTAGTGCCACAGCACAGAGTGTACAGACCATGCTTATCGGCCGCCTACTAGCTGGTATTGGAATCGGCATCTCTTCTGCAGTTGTGCCACTTTACATATCTGAGGTTGCAAATTATTTCATTTTTCTTAATGATTTCATTGTTGATACTCGTTTAAGGTCCAATGACTGACACATACTTTTGGTCAGATCTCACCAACTGAAATCCGAGGTGCACTTGGTTCTGTAAACCAACTATTTATATGCATTGGGATCCTTTTGGCGTTGGTGGCTGGGTTACCGTTAGCCGGGAACCCCATATGGTAACTGTTCTTGTCATAAGTTAGTAATTGAACAATTGTTTCCTTTCATATTTTTTTTTTTGAACAAATGTTTCAATTTTCAGGCAAGGAAATCTAAATATTGTGCAATAAGTACATTTATCAAGCATGGCCTGTCAATATGCATAGCCCTGATTGTGATTCAACTGTGGTTTTCCTTGATCTTGCATCAACACCTTATTTTTCACTGACAAACATAGATGCAAACTTTAGCAGCAACTAAATGGAGATTTATGGGAGTCGGGTTAATGACGCATAGATGATCTAAATTCAGATTCTAAGATGTAGTCTCTACCTTTGCTCTTGCCACTACTATGCTGGGCAGTTTTTCTTTACTTTCATCTTTGCATTTGAACAGTTAAAGGATGTTGTTTGTCAAAGTCATCAAAGAATTAAGGTATTTTGAATGGCAACTTTCTTGCTTGGAAGTTCTGCTTGAAAAATGGGATGCTGTTAGAGATACTAAGTCGAACGTTTAAGAGGATATGATATATTGTTGGGGTTGTTAGGCTTCATGTGATAAATGTGTACAGCTTAGGCTTACAATACATTTTGTTCTCGGTGGCAGTTTTCTAAAGTAGAACTTTACTATTGTCTCTAATTTTGTCCTGCTTATACTTGATACATATTGTGTTATCATTTGGTTCAAATATGAGCTGCTGATCAACTAAATTCTGTGTTGGAACTAGTTTTGTTTGTACTTGACAAACGTTGATGCTCTTCTTGTGCACTTTTTGACATTTGCTACGATGTCACTTTGTCTTGTAGGTGGCGAACAATGTTTGGCCTTTCTGCCGTGCCTTCCATTCTGTTGGCACTAGGGATGTCATTTTCTCCGGAAAGCCCTCGGTGGTTGGTCCAGGTTCCTTCTTCACCTCTGTGACCTATACTCTGTATTTTTATGTTTCCCCCATTCACTGTATGTCACTGAAATTTATCTATCAACACATGCAGCAAGGGAAAGTTCCCGAAGCAGAGAAAGCGATTCAAACACTTTATGGCAAAGAAAGAGTGTCTGAAGTCATGCAAGACTTGTCTGCGTCGAGTCAAGGTTCGTCAGAGCCTGAGGCAGGGTGGTTTGATCTGTTTAGTAGCCGTTACTGGAAAGGTATGTCTGCAATTTGTCAAACTGAACTTCTTTTATGCTTTAAGTTCTAAAACTTCTCAATTTGCCTACAGGGTCGTTTGGATAGATCAATTGGAAAACGAGACAACTTGTCCAGCTGTCTCATTTTACAAAACAAGTCATTTAAAATGTGTCAATTTGAATTACCTACCCTCCACCCCAGACAATTGTAATTGCCTCAAAACGAGTCAATTCGAAATTCTCTAGGCCAAATTGCTTCATCCAAATTTTATGTTACCAAACAAGTGAATGGGACCCAATTATCTCAAAACGAGACAATTGGGTAAAATTGATCCATTAGGATTCTTCATCCAAAACGCCCCTTCATGTAATTTATAAATTGCACTGCACTTCTTTTGACGGATTAGGGATAAAGTCCCTACCCATATGTTTCTTAGATTCTGATAATTATATGCCGAGATCTTAACATGTAATGTTTTGTATAAATAGTAGAATCTGAACATATCGTATGTGTTTTGAGTCATTTATCAACTTAACTTTTGTGCTGTGGTGCAGTTGTTAGCGTCGGTGTAGCACTTTTCTTTTTCCAACAGATGGCCGGAATAAATGCTGTGGTGTACTATTCGACTGCTGTGTTCCGAAGTGTTGGGATTGGGTCTGATGTTGCAGCGAGTGCTCTTGTTGGAGCCTCAAATGTTATTGGTGAATTCCCTTGTCATTGTTCTTTTCTGACATCTGTCAACTTTCCATCCTATAGTGTTTTCATCTTACATCCATCTTCCAGGAACCACCGTTGCCTCTTCTTTGATGGACAGACAAGGAAGGAAAAGCCTGTTGGTCACAAGCTTCTTTGGAATGGTAAGTGTTATTTTGCGATAAAACATTTTCTTCTACCTCATGCATTAGCACATTGAACTGTTCTTTTATGTGCTGCTGAAAATGTAAACCATATTGGAGTCATTTAAGTTACCTTATTGCCACCATACTTTGGCCATACCAGATTAGGTTGGTTTCAGCCTTTCTGTGTTGAATTTCTTTTCTTCTCCTACCTTCACCCTGTCCATTGAAATCATCTAGTACTGGTAGTGATTTGACTGGTCCTTACCACAGTGTTCGGTACTAATATTTGGAAACGAAAAAATGGCTTAACTGACAGTTTATTTTCCATTTTACTCGCGAAGTTTTGTTGGCATGATCTGCATTTCTTATGCATATTCCTTCCTCCTAAAAAAGCTACGGTTTAGGATTTGAAATATCTAGTTTCTGTTGATTTGTCTTTCACTTGGTCACAAACTGACTGTTGCTCAGGCATATATTTTATATCCCTGATCTAGTTCCATGATGCTAAGTTGGATGATCAACTGTCTAAAGGGGTACCCATATATCTTTCTCCTGGACCAATTGATTTTACTTATCTGTAATATAAATGTTTAATGTCTACTTCGTAGAGACATAGTCAGTCTCCTATGCTCTGGTAGTAAGATTCATTGTTGCATCAGGTGCTTTTTCTTTTCTTTTTCCGCACTTGTTTTGGAAGCAAAAGATCTTGTGCTCTTCTCCCGAACTTCTCTTATGTTCCCATGCTTTGATTTTGTTATTTGTGCGTTCTCTAGGCTGCATCAATGTTACTGCTTTCCTTGTCATTGACCTGGAAGGTCCTAGCACCTTATTCTGGCACGCTTGCGGTTCTTGGGACAGTGTGGTAAGTACTATGTAGCATGTTCTTTTTGCAAGGTTTTTGGCTCCTGGCGCGACCGTGCTTCTCTGATGCTAATTCCGGTAACTGTGGTTTTTTTGTCTCCAATGATACGCAGCTATGTCCTCTCTTTTTCACTTGGGGCTGGTCCAGTACCTGCTCTTCTACTCCCTGAGATATTTGCCTCCAGAATTAGAGCCAAAGCAGTTGCACTATCTTTGGGCATGCACTGGGTAAGTCAATCTTGTGGTTTCCCCCCTACACATAATTCGAACCGGTTAAGTATATATATTAGGTTACAAGTAAACAGTGCTGATCACCGGACATAACGATAATGTGTTAGAGAATCAGTTACCTAAAAATTAGTTCATCGTGAACCGAGCTTGTGGACTAAAACCAAAATGGAGATTCATGTAATCATGTTGTTACTTCCAAGTGTGTTCTGATTCTCTATCGCGTGACAGGTCGCGAACTTTGTCATTGGCCTCTATTTCTTGAGCGTGGTGAACAAGTATGGGATCAGCATGGTGTATCTAGGGTTTTCGGGCGTCTGTCTTCTTGCCGTTGTGTACATACTTAACAACGTCGTGGAGACGAAAGGAAGATCGCTGGAGGAGATCGAACGTGCCCTAGCATGATTCAGATGTCTAGTTTTCCCTTGGAGCAGCTCACCTGGGAATAATCTGCCTGGCCGGCTCAGTGACTGAATCCTTCCCATCTTCTGGTATTTTAACCTATTGAGGTTCCCTTCTGTAAGTGAGAGATTGTAGCAATCGTGCTCATTTACTGTGGATACTTAATCGCCGGCCGGTTTCTTTGTATGTAGATGCTGAACCGTTGAACTGTTATGATATTCGGCCAGTTTCTTTATCGTCGGTGGGTTTCCAATTGCCATTCGCGAATGCCGCTTATTGTGACGAGTCTCAATTGCCAAAGTGTTGTTATGGTGGTAATACAAATAAGAACCATTAATAAACAAGGGTTTGGGTTGGCGATGTTACTGTTGGTTTTTAAATTTTGTTTTTTTTATAACTTAAACTGTTGGTCCAATATCAATTATTACGAACTGCTTTGTCTCGTGGCCTTAACATTCAAGCCGCCTTAAAATACATCCTTCTAATATTTCAAAGTTGAAGGAGGAAGGCCACCGACGAAAAATACTGAATGCGAAGTTGCGAACTGTTAGTCCATTCTAACATATTGGTCAAAATTTAGAAGGCTCAATCTCTTAGACAAAAAAACAGCGGACAAGGGAGTTTGACAAAGTTGTGACAGACTGTGTGGCTTCAAAGTTCAAACTGAGTAGGCGACTTGTTAGCGTGATTGATGGCGTTAATTCTAGTGCAAAAAACAAAAGGGCAGCCAGTCTGACTCCCCCTAAATTGTTTGGTATTCCGTATAGAAAACCCAGTGGTTTTGGAGATTCTTTTCTCCCCGTTGGACACGTTGCTGACCCAAATTAAATTGGATTCGAGAGCCACTAACTTCCAAGTATCGAGTTCGAATTTCGATGACTTCTATCTGTTTTTGTTTATGCTAAGCACATGGTGTTCAGACCTGTATCTGTCCAAACTCTAAGCCTATCTGATGACTTGAGTTTGAGGGGGAGGGGGTTAAATGATATATGGTTCACGATTGAACGTCTTCCAACAACTCGAGTTATTGAGACCAACTAGTTCTTAAGAGGTACAATAATAAGTCTGTTCATTTAATTGTACGGATAGAGATGGACCAAACAGTTTTTAATGGTTTGATATGAGTCTAGATGAACCTGCCCGATTTAACTGGTCCACTATGTTAACCATAGAAAATTAAAGAAAACACCTTTAACATAAACTAAAACCATCTCACCTCAATCACTAATGTTATTATACTTCCTTTTTTCCATTTTCCAGCCTCCATGTCGGATTTATCTGGTTCATTATGGTTTGTCACCTTGATTAGTTAATTGAATGTAATAAAAAAAATCATGATATCTTTTGTGAGATAGTTTGAATGCTTTGTTATAACTTTTATGGTGATAGATGATACAAATTTTAATTTTTTATGGTTAGTGATATATTACCTCCTAAATTAATGTATTATATATGTCTTTTATATTATAGCACATAAATAGTTTCATCTACGGTTAACCAACAATTTTATAATGATTAACCATTGAACTATCAACCACTAACTTTTTCGCTTCGTTCTAGTTTTGAAAACATTGATTATTACTATTAGCAGGCGTGGTTCTTTTGATGGGGAATATACAATTGGAGTGTTATCATAATCTCACTCAGAGCAAAACGAATTGGCATGCAAACATTAACTACAGTAAGATGATGATTAAGGACAGCGATATTATTACTCCATTTCTTGCTTCAAGGACAAGTGATTTCGATTGCAGTTTATGCGAATAGCACTTGCATGAAATGCTCCTAAGCATAACTCTTGCATAACCAGATTTGGTTCAAGATTTAAGGGGTGTGATTAATTTTTTATTTAATTTTGTGTACTTTTAAATTAATTTTTATCTTCTTTATTTAACCTGGAGCTTATAATTTTTTTGCATAGATAAAATGAATTCTGCAAAATAATATCAAATTTTAACACATTTCGAGGAAAAAAAATTCAAATCGCCCTATTAGAACCTCTGTTTTGAGCTCAAATATTGAAAACAAAATTATCCAAATAGAACGAGTTATTGGTAATCTATTTAAATTACATATTTTTAGAATAAAATATACTATCCTATATCATCCTTGTATAGGGCTGTATCTATCTGTTGGTAGGCGGTAATAAAAAACTGTAAAAGAACCATTAATATATTTATACTATTATATATACAACCATTCTATACTATCATAAAATCATATCATCACGATATACTTTCATTTTACGTTGTATATTATATAGTATCAAATATTAATCAGTATCTATATCGTTTTAATTTTATCGGATTTCACCAAAAGTGACAGTACCAACTTACCAACTGGAATTTTAACATAACACGTACACTTATTTTAGTTTTCACGCTGCACTTTTCAACACCCAGTCTACAATGCATAAATATCTACCCTTTTTTCACTTTGCATTGACCCCGTTATCACCATTCACCAGTCATGATCATCTTCTTTCCCAATGAACTAAAACTACCAGGTCTCCCTTTCCCCTGTTTTCCTCCACCGGCAGAGGACCTTCATCTCTCTCTCTCTCCCTTTCCCCTGTTTTCCTCCACCGAAAAAGGGTCTCTTCATTCTCTGATCTCCTCTGCCATTAGTCGCCAATGTCACTCCTCCAACTCTGTTTCACTTCATTTCTTCTCCTTCTTCCCCTTCCTTCATACTCCCTCAACGATGAAGGCCTCACCCTCCTCTCCTTCAAACAGTCCCTGCAACAAAAACCCAGCACTACCCAATTGCAAAATTGGAATCCCTCAGACACAAATCCTTGCTCCTGGGAAGGAATCGGCTGCAACCCACTCGGCCGAGTCATCTCACTCACCCTTCCTTACAAACAACTCGCCGGATCCTTCCACCTCGACTCCACAAACCTAACCCAACTCCGCCACGTCAATCTCCGCAGCAACAACCTCACCGGAACCCTCCCGCCGGAGCTCCTCCAATCACCCGCGCTCAAAACCCTCGTCCTCTCCGAAAACTCAATTTCCGGCCCGATTCCGTCCGAAATCGGGAACGCCGACCGCCTCCAAACCCTCGACCTCTCTCAAAATTCCTTCAACGGCCCTCTCCCTCCATCAATTCTCAACTGCAAGAGACTGAAACAGCTCGTCCTCAGCTCCAATCTCTTCTCCGGCTCCCTACCCGACGGAATCGGGCCCAGTTTAATCACCCTCCAGAGCCTCAACCTATCGTCCAACGCTTTCACTGGACGCATCCCCGGCGACATTGGAAACCTGTCGAATCTGCAGGGAGCTCTCGATCTGTCGCACAATTTCTTCACCGGCGCAATCCCGTCGAGCCTCGGCGGTCTCCCGGAGACGGTCTACATCGATCTCAGCCACAACAATCTGAGCGGCCCAATTCCCCAGTCTCGGACCCTGCTCGATGCTGGGCCCACAGCTTTCCTCGGCAACCCACTCCTCTGCGGGCCGCCCACGAAAGCCCTCTGCCTGTCTCTCCCGGAAAAGCCCAAGCCCATGGCCGACGATCCGTTACTCGAGCCCGGCAGCGGCGAGAGGCGCCTGAGTCCGGCTCTGCTAGCGATCGCGATTGTATCCGGGACAGTTTTAGCGATCGGCGTGGTCGCTCTGTCGTTTGCGTACTGGTACAAATATTTAACAAATACTTCGTTTAATACACGTTAATACACGTATACGAGTTATACATATTTTATCTGTTTAAAACTTTCATATCTATACGAATTAAAACACCTATATGTATTCTATACGTAACTTAATTTAACTATGCTAATATAGGAGGAGAGCTCAACACGGGAAGCGGAACGACGTCGTGGTGGCGGCCGGCGGCGGGAGATCGGGAGCGGCGGGGAAAGAGATGCTCTGTTTCAGTAGGAGGGATGACGTGGAGTCGCTGGCGTCGGAGAATGTGGAGCAGTACGCGTTCTTGAAGGTGGAGGCAGAGCCGGGGTTTGATTTGGAGCAGCTGCTGAAAGCGTCGGCGTTTCTGCTTGGGAACGGTGGGGCGGGGATCATGTACAAAGTTGTGATCGAGAACCGGGCGAGCCTGGCGGTGAGGCGGCTGGAAGATGGAGGCGGCGGGCAGAGGTTTAGGGAGTTTCAGGGGGAAGTGGAAGCGATCGGGAAGATTAGGCACCCGAACATTGTGAGGCTTCTGGCTTGCTGCTGGTGTGTTAGTGAGAAGCTGCTCATCTATGAGTATGTGCCCAATGGGAACTTGGCTACTGCAATTCACGGTAAATGCTCTGTTGTACCTTCCCCTTTTGCATTTTTCATTTGAGAAAAAAAAAATTCCCAAAATACCATAGTTTGCAAAAACATTTTCCAAAAATGCTAGAGTTTGGAGCCGTTTTCTTTACTGTCAAGTAAACTAGGTAGTGGTTCGCTTTACACTGGAGCGATCCACAATCAGAAGGCTTGGATTGCAGCGGAGATAAGCGAACCATCCTCAGAACCAACGTGGATCGTGGCACACCCTAGCGAAGCCACACCACATCGCTGATGAGTGATGACCCTCACAATCTACTTTTGACCTAGGTCAAAACTTTCACCGATCATAACAGAGCACAGCGTTACGAGTTACGACCATTTGAAATTTCGACCTAGGTTAGGTCTAGTTCGCAATCGGAGGGGTTTCCATCAATTTTTTGGAGAGCAGATCACTCTCGTGTTCTGTATTGTTCGCGGCTATGTCCAGCGATCACCAGAATTTCGAGCTGTTCGCCTCCTTTAGTCGCTGTCCACGTATGTTTGCTTCTTACTCCAGCGAAACCACCACCCCGTTCGAGAGACACTCCAGCGAACTGTTTCAAACTCTAGTATTATGAGAAATTTCCTTTTCCAACCCTTGTATTTTGGGATTTTCCCCCCCTGCTTTAGAAAGGCAGAGTCATGACATTCTGATGTGTGGATTTTTTGGTCATCAGGGAGGAACGGAGTGACAAACTTCAAGCCAATGCCATGGTCTACCCGTCTCCGAATTCTCAAAGGCCTGGCCAGAGGCTTGACATTCATCCACGAATGCAGCCCCAAGAGGTACGTCCATGGCCATCTGAAGCCCACCAGCATACTCCTAACAAGCGACATGGATCCTCGAATCGCCGATTTCGGCCTCAACCGCCTCGCCTGCAATCCAACAACAGCCGAAGAATCATCATCCTTTGAACCTCCTCTGGCTCACACGGAGAGCAGCAGGACGCCTTCTCAGTGCTCACCATATCCATTGACACCCACCAACGCTAAGACGAACAACGCGTCGTTCTACTACGAAGCTCCTGAGATGGCTTCGCGATCATCAGCTTCGTCGTCGAAGCCGTCGCAGAAGTGGGATGTCTACTCGTACGGGATGATCCTCCTCGAGATCGTCACCGGGAAGTCTCCCGCGGCGATTCTGAACGCTTCTGAGATGGATTTGGGGAAATGGGTTCAGCTCAGCATCGATGTTAGTAAGCCGATTGGTGATATTGTGGATCCCTTCTTGGCGCATGATTCGGGTAAAGAATTGCAGATGGCTGCTGTGATGAAGATTGGTTTGGCCTGTGTTGGAGGGAATCCTGACAAGAGACCTTCGATGAGGAATGTCGGAATTGCTCTGGAGAAAGCGGGGGAGGAATAGGTGGATTGTAGATGAAACAAATTTGTGAGCAACAAGATGATAGTGTGCAGAACAGAGGAGTCGTCGAGTGCTTTCAAGTGGCGTTACATGTTTTTGTTTATGATATTTTACAGATTATTTATGGGTTGGCAGAATGTTATACTGTGTGAAATTTGTTATCATTCTGCGAAATGTAATAGCAAATCAATTTTTTTGACATTATGATGCTGTTGGATGATTTTTTCTATAAGATAACGAATCTAAATACGAGACGAAAAAATGTAATTTTTTTTTTGCCAATATTATCAATTAGTAAACTTAAAACAATAACAACTGATAATAAAATCCAATTAACACACAGATTTGAAGAATTTTACAATGCTTTAAAGCATTGCTGATTTAGTTTTGGTCTTTATGGTACAAATTGAAGTTGTATCTTTAACGTTATGGTATAATTTCGAGTTATACCTATATTCTTTTGTAAAATTTCTTATAGTAGAAACTAAAAGTTCTACCTTTATGTTATGGTACAACGTCAAGTTGTACCATAACAAAAAGGGTCCAATTCCCTTATTATACAACTTCAATTGGTACTTTTAACGTTATGGTACAACTTAAAGTTATATTTTAAAGCATCAATACTTTAAAAAATAGTATAAAGTGCTCCATAAATTTACGTGATTCACTAACATAACGTCTCTTAGCTAGTCTAAAAAAAAGATAATCAATTTCACTATACTTGAAGAAGAGATACATATTATAAAGGGAATGAAAAGTATATAAAGTAAAGGAAAGATCTCGTACGATAACAGATAATCTGTAATATAAACATTACATCCCACATTTTGGCTTGCAACTTGATTCCCATGATTCCATTCTACCGAACTTTATTACGGTTGGCCACTCCTTCCCACTTTGTACTTTTTTTTTTATGCCTTCCCACTTAGCTCGTTAAGCATTGTTTGATATCGAGCACGAGCAGTATCCATGAATAGCAAAGGCTCCCAAAAAGATCCATAATAGCAAAGAAAGCAAATCATGCTGTCTACAATTTTTAGGTGTAAACACCTTGCTTGTCTCCAATATCATGTCCTAGGATCGATCCTTTGGAGTCAGAATCATATATGGAGTTCATCGGAGGCTCGACGAAAATGTTATTTATAGTGACAACACTAGTGATGTCAACTTAGATAATAATTCAAAAGGTGGGTCTCGTTGTGAATATGTAAGTTTTGAGAACGTCATGCAATCGATAAATCGAATTCGGAGTTCAAATGAATAAGATAGTGACAAAAATTAAAAAAAAAATTTGGACAAAAAGTTATCTCTTATATGCTCTGCTCAGCTCAAACTTTAATTCATTAAGAGCAATACTATAACCATTATCACTTAGGTTAAAAGGGGAAAAATAATTACTTCCTACAACATAATTATCAAAAGAAAGCAAAAGACTAGAGCTCTCAACAGAACTTATGTAGTGGAATACTGAAACAAAAAAAAAAAAATCTTATGATCTTCATAGACAAAGTGTGCACGCAAGCAGACATTCAATGTCGAAAGCGTAAATTAGCGAAATATTTAAAATCCTCAAGTTTATCTAAAACAGGATCGGAAGAGAATGTATAAAAAACAACGACTCCGCAGGGCACCATCGTGACGAAACACACTCCGATACTAAATCCCAATCCATTGTAAGTTTGGGTTGGTGTTCCATGAAGAAGCATGACCACATTGTAGTAAGCAAAAATTTGCATCACTACGGTCACCATTACATCGTGTACATGATAATCCAAAACCTTCCACCGACATTTAACAAACGTGTGAGTTTCGATACTGAATAATATCAATCCGGTCAAAATCCACAGATCCAGACCACGTCGATGACCGGAACTACAATACCCGAAGATGAGAGAGACGAGGATGAAAAAGACGATGTCTGCAGACCTAGCGTAGCGCCCCCAAACACAACCCGGAGCCTTTTCACCCCAAACAACAGCAAAATGGCTTAGGATAAATGGAAGCGCAAGGAAGATTGATCCATCAACCCCATAACAGAAAATAACAAGTGGATGGTTGCAGAGTTTCTCTATGTCTCGAAATATCACAATTACTGGGTAGAAGAACCCAATGCTTGCAATGCTACTAATGCATAGTGGCACAAGCCATAACTTGAGTAGCTTATCACTTGTCTTTTGAATTCCTTCTCCTTCCCCTACTATTGTTATTACCTCTTCCACCTTTCCCACTTCCATGTCAACCTCCACAGTATAAGGCTGTTAGTGATTCATAAGAAGTACATAAATGATTACTAATGATAACACATGCCTAAATTCCTGTTATTTTACGATTCTCCTATTTATTAGATAATAATAATAGTAATTGCTTCAGAACTGATTAAACAAATTGAAGAAAACTTGCACGCTTATTTCTCATTTCAGTGGAAGCCCTGATTCATCGGCAACACTATTTGTGTTGATTAGTTAAGTATACTTGAAAAAAAGATAACAAAATAAAAACGAGTTGTAGAGTTATCGTAATGTCCGGAAAAAAATTGAAATAAAAAAGGTTAGTAAGGAAACAAGCAAAAACATATATTTACCAATAAATAAACATGGGGTAGTTGTAACTTGTAAGTCACTTAGGGATAGTTTGGAAGTTGATATTGTTTCGGTGAGCTTGTTACTATACATGTATTGTTTTGTTGTTGTTTTTTTAGCAGAAACAATACATGGATTGTTTATATGATGTTACAGAAACTATCACTCAAAATAAGTGATTGTTGTATGTCAATTTTTAGCTGTGATTGTCGAGATTGTTTTGTCTCAGTTTTTAGTTGATGTGACATTCACAATCACATATACCAAACGTTGTATTTTACAATGCATCAAATTCAACAATACATGTATAATATTATACATGCATTCACAACAATACATCTGTTTAACAATCACAACTTCCAAACAACCCTAGATTTTAGGTTAAGTTTGGTCGAAGTATACTCTTGCTAAGAGACTTAAAGTCGGCTTAAATAGGAGAGGCAATGAATAGCCCACGTCCGTGGGCCTACCCGTGGGGTGACTCCTGATCCGACTCAAAATTTGGCGTGCCTTGTGGGTAGGGGTGGGCATCCGGTTCGGGTTTGACTCTCCGAACCGAATTTGACCGAACCGAAACCGACCGAAACCGAAATTTATGTTATTAGGTTCGGAATTCGGAAAGAGAAAAGCCAAAATTCGGAAACCAAGGTCACACAACCGAACCCGATTTCCGAACAGCCGAACCGAAAACCGAAATTACAAAATTAATCACAACATTTTAGCCCATAGACAAAGCCCAAAACCCACTCCCCCACTGACCACAATCCACTCTCGGCTCTCCCCAGCCCAGACCTCACAAAACCCTAAGTCCAACCCTTATGCTCTCTCAACTCTAACCTCACACCCTTTACCCTTATCCCTATCCCACAACCACCGCCCACCGCGCCGCCACCTGCTCTAAAGCAGCCACCACAGACCACACAAACGTCCTCGTCGACCGCCGTGCTTCTTCCATGGCTCACTGCACTCTCTTCTCCGCCGCGACAAATTCCTTCTCCACCTAAAATCGAAAACAGAGAAGACCTATTGAAGCTCGACGGAGAAAAGCAAACCCCAAAACAGTTCATGCATGTTTAGATCTGACCCATACTCACCTCTAACCTTCGTCGTCGGTCATCACCATTGCCGACATCCATCGCCGTTGCCGCCAGCGTCGTGCACCGCCGTTGCCGCCAGCGTCGTGCACCGCCGTTGCCGCCAGCGTCGTGCACCGCCGTTGCCGCCAGCGTCGTGCACCGCCGTTGCCGCCAGCGTCGTGCACCGCCTTGCTGCCTGCTGTTGTCAATCGCTGAGTTGTGCTTTGCTTTGAGCTTCACTCGCCGGTCGTTGTTGCGTTTGGGTAGATCTGTTGTCGTCAATCGTTGTTTGGGTAGAGAGAAAGAGAGGGATTGGGTAGAGAGAAAGAGAGAGGGAGATGGAGAGAGAGGGGACCAGAGTGGGGGAAAAAAGTTTCAGATGAAAAAGCCACTGGATGCATTTTAATATAAATGTCCGGTTTGGTCGGGATCCCGGACCGAACCGGAATATAATCCGGTTCGGACAATCCGAACCGAATTATATTTCGGTTCGAGTTCGGTTTTGAGTTTGAAGCATGTGGAAGACCCGGTATCCATCTTTTCGGTTCGGTTTGAACCGAACCGAACCGATGCCCACCCCTACTTGTGGGATTCGATGCCGATCGTTCCATAGTGTTTTACTTTGGACGATTCTATGCGGAGTTTTCTGATCCATTCTTGATTGAGCTCATATGTGTCTCATTTTGTAACTAATTTTCTTTTATTTGGCAATGCGCAAGTGATCGTCCAGATGGTCTACGCGAAAGATTCAGCTCACGTTTGGGAGGTGTCATTCTGAAGGAGGTTCTGGTGTTGAGATCATCTCTCCAGCGTGCTCCAATTTATTTCACGTCTTGTAGGTACAATAGAGCTGCCCATATCATGGCAAAACAAGCCCTTTTTTCGTTAGTTCATCGACTTGTTGACCAATATGTTTTTCTTTCATTTGATTTTTTATGAAAAAAAAAGAATGAAACACCCAAAATGGCATATAATCCACTGCGTATCTTGGAGTGGCGTGGGAAACAATTGGCCATATATGTTCCATCTTTCTTTTTGACTTTGTGGCGGAAAAAGCAAAAGTATGGGAGGGAACTTATTTATTTCCAGAATTGGAGGGGTTGGTCATGATATGATTGTCTTGTTGGTAGGGATGGTACAATATTTAGGTTAACTGTAACCGAATAGCAATCGAACTGTTACTGATTAATAATACACCATATAAGAGACTTCTTAAATGAACATCGATTAGTTATAAGATCTATCTTTTGATTACGAAGTTAAAATTCGCATAATTAATTGTTAATAATCATTTAGGTAACTGCACCAATTAAGCCCAACCCAATATGGAAATAACACTCTAACACAATTCAAAAAACAAATACACAATAAGAAATTTACAGTCAATTATGGCATAGACGTACACAAGGGAAAAAAAATTGCACTCGATGGCCGACCCAACCCCTGCTAATAAGCCCGACCCAACACATTTTTACTCCTAGTTCGGCTGCTCCAATTCGGCAAAGGCAAAGCTCCCATTTATTCTAATTTCTAGGGTTCAATCTCGACACCCCATCTGTTCTTATACGATTAATATGTATAACCGCCCTAACTGTTTG